TTTCTGGTGAAAAAGACGATACATTTTTTTATTTCAATAATTTATGCCTGAAAAAAAAACATCATGTGTAATTTGTCTACAACTGTAATGTAAACTCCCCTTCAGGTTGTTAATACCTTCAAATTCTATTAAAAATACAGAAAATATGACTTTGGTGTGTTTTTTTTAAAAAAAAAATTAAATTAAGGTATTAAAAAGAATACTGTATTTTTACCAATATCAAAAAATGTCCAAACAATAACCAGCTCTGCAGGACGCTTAACCTGTAAATGAAAAAATCTAAACAACCACTGTAATGCAGGAGAAAACCTTTTGTTTGTATGGTCAAGCAATTTATTTGAAAATGATGCATTACCAATGCATATACACATGAATATTGTACGTAAAAGTATATGAGAGGTTGTGTAAAAACAGTAAAACACAAAATACAAAATGCATGGGCCCTATCTATCTATCTATCTATCTATCTATCTATCTATCTATCTATCTATCTATCTATCTGAGTTCAGACTGCTATTGTTCTGTGACTCTCCTGTCATCTACAGCTCAAAGTCAGCCAACAGGGTCAACAAGAGCCGTTTGCTCCCTGGGAAAATCCTCATCTTACTGAATGTTTCCAAGTGTATACAAGTGGCTGGAGGTTGTAAGTGCTTTTTGATGGGGGCAGCTTCTGTGTCGCTTGTGGCATTCGAGGCTGCTTAGGGAGGCAGGGTCACGTTCTCTGGTCACCCCTGCTATTCTACGGCCTCCACAGGGGGGGGTCAAGGCAGGGGTTAAATTGCTCCCAAAGCAAATGAAGAAGGTAGTTTTGTTTGTTTATCCAGGGTTAAGGATGATGGTTGCGGCTCAATAAAATGGATGAAAGCGATGTTACCCCCATTTTTCGGCTCTGGAATTGCTCCACATTTGCATGGCAGCACTGGCGACCCAGAAGGTGTGATTTTTCCCACAAACCAGTTTACTGAGGTTTACTGAGGTTCACTCTGACTTAACAGACACTGGAGGCAGTGGTGGGGGCTGTAATGGAGAGGCAGACTAGGGCCCTAATTGAATAAATTTACACAATGTCTACTGGCTTCCAGAGGCTGGATTTGAGAAGGAACACTATAAACTCATGGAGTAACATGCAAAACCATACCTATTTCATCTATTAAAAACTGCATTTTTTTAAACAGTATTTTTCTATTGCTATCAGGTTACATCATAAAGTTATCACAAAGCACCAACTTTAATTGATTGCTTTGGTGTCTGTGAGCTTCTGAGGGAAGTCCTCAGGGACAGACCCCTCTGTTAATCCAATGTGGAAGGAGTTAATCAGATTAATGTCATGTATTGTCAAGACCATTTAATTCAGTACTTTGGGTTAAACAGCCCTCCATAGGCCACGATTAACTAATAAAGGAACTTATCAATTTTTCAGCTGTGTCCTCTCAGCAGGGTCACAAAGTGTTTTTATTATAACGTGCTTTTTTTAATGGGAGGAAATTAGATTTCCATTACAACAAATGAGCTATGAAGATTGGCATGCAGTATAAATGTTGGGAAAATTCATAATAAATTTAATTCATGATAAATAATTTCATATAGCACATTACCAGGACACTGCTCACACAGTCAGGGTAAACTTCTAATTTCAATATTAAATTCATTATGTGGCACACTACACCACACCTTGCACTGTAAACTACGCCACACAATATACCACACACTACACCCCATTCTGCTCTGCACATTATGCCCCACACTACACCACACACTATGCCACACATTATGCACACTATGCTGCATACTGTGCTGCACATTACGGTCCACATTACACTGAACACTATGCCACACACTATACAATGCACTTTGTCATACACTATGCACACTATGCCGTGCAACTGACAAAGTGCCGACATTGCTCTGATGGTTTCAGATGAGTAGGGATTAAATGAGTTGAAGATCACACAGCACCTCTATGGCAATCAGCCAAGAATCCACCTACATTGAGGGGGTACTATGTACAGTGGAAAATGAAATTGAGAGGAGGACCTGGTACCAAAAGTTAGTCAAGCCAAAACATGCATTGGAAATGAGACATTAGTTTTGTTTTAAAGGAACAATGTCAAAGATTTAGGGAGATTTAGTGGCATCTAGTGGTGATAATTGCAGATTGCAAGCACAGTGTTTGTAGTTCAGGTGGTTTTTACCAAGTGCAAAGTTATCCCCAAAGATCGCTCCCTCTGTGTTTCCCCTACTCTGTTTGGCACACTGCAAATGTGCTACTAGCACCTGCTAATGTGTGCTCACCTTGTTTCTCTGACAATTAAGATCTAGGCGTTTAGGAGATTTCACGTAGAGCCGAATTATCCACAGAGGTCTCTTCCTCCCATAACAAACAGACCTCATAAAAACACTGAGTTAGTGGATTCATGTTAACAAAAATCTGTGTTTTTCTGAAGCTGTCATTGTAGAAGGTGCCGTGACCAATGTGAAAATTGTTATTTGTTGTAAGTGATGAAAACACAACAAATTATTTTTAGGTGATTATATACTGCAGAAAACATACTTTTCATATTAATTTCCATTTCTGCCAACACATGCCCCCAAATCCTACTGACTAGACCTTTAAAAGGTTGTAATTATATTTGGAACACATTCATGCAATTGATAGCAATAAGAATTGCAGAAGAATTATGGTCTGCACGTCCCTCTTGAAGGAAATGTATGGTCAACTTTAATCAGCAGAGTTGCTTCCCTGCTGGCAAACAAATATGCAAATTAACACAGAAATTGACAGATTACCTAACTCACACACACACACACACACACACACACACACACACACACACTCTTGTGCTTGGTGGGATTGTCCAATCAGATTAAATGCTGAGGTGTTAAAAAGCGGGAGATTTAAGAATAACATTGAAGAGAGTTACAGATCATGAAGGACACTAAAGCCTAAAAACAAACACAACGGTATCATCCCCTCAACAGCAAAGCACTCTGACACTGACATGCTGCTATCTGCTAAAAAGAAAGGGGTGGGAGTGGTGGTGGTGGTGACCTTATTATCCCTGTTAGCATCACACTAAGAACACCCTCCTTGTTAGCTTTCCCTGGTCAGGTTTCATATAGGGAGAAACCTCAGGCCACAGCCTGTCATTCTATTCAGTTGAGAGGAGTTGGTGTTGCATGGTTAACACTAGAAAAGAAGCACCTGTTTATTGCTCAACAAACCTCCTGGAAGAAAACAAAATCCCACTCAAAAAGATTCCTTTCATAATGGTCTGAGTAAAACTGAATAGACAGATGAGGATTACAATGGACTGGGAAACCCTAAATTTATAATCCATGTACTATAAGAAACCAAGAAATGGTACTGAAGACAAGTCCTGCAAACTTATTTCAGCCCCATACCCCCAAAGCTCAGAGCTAGAAGTGAGCACGCAATTAGGCCTTTGACTAAATCAGTGTTCTAGACCTGATTCATTAATATAAGATCATAGGCGTAGATTAAGAGGGTATGCAGGGGGCACATTCCCTTCAATATTAAGAACACGGATGACTTTTATTTTGACAAAATTAAAGACATTTCCACCATAAACGGATGGCACAAATTGGTATATAGAAATTCACCAGAATGCAGAAGATGACGTGTTTGATGCTCAAAATTTCCTGGGGGTGGATGCCAAATGCCCCATTCCATTTGTGTCCTCCACCAAAGCTGAAAATAAACCAAACCCTTTGCCCTTGTGTAAGACCCACAACCTGATCTGTAATGAAATGGCTTAGAGCTTGGTGCTGGAATAGACCATTGACTTTCAGCAGACAAAATAAGGACACCATATTATTAACAGCACATGACAGCTGTCGAAATAAATGCTTAATTCATAAGACTTTGAATAGATTTGATTTGTAGGTTTTCACAAGGTTCAATGTTTTAATAAGGGGGTCAGACTCACAAAGACCTTGCACGCTGATCCAGGAATACAGGAACTGTCATACTTCAATACTGTAAGCACTACAAATGAAATTCCATTCAACTCCACTATGTTGTAATAGCAAGGAAACTATCTGCATGGAGAGTTACCACTGGAGTAAAGAGAGAACACCCCAGGTAGCCAAAATGACCTGGCTGGGCATTGGCCCGAACTCAGCATCCTAGAAGAAATAAGTCAGGATGCAAATTTTTGCATCAAGTGTTGACTCACTTCATACATGCTAATATCTCGCATCATATGTGCATGAATTTGTGCATGGGAATTTTTGTGAGAGAAGAGGGGCTTACACAGCATGCTAACATGCTAAACTAAGAGACAAATATTGTCACAACTTACCAGATAATACGAATTCCTCACTTACTTTCCTCCAAGTGAGTTACTTTTTATCCCTGTTTCTATAAAAGTAGGACGTGGTGTTGTACAGCTTGGGGTACAATCAGCAATCAGCACACAATCAGTTTCTATTCCATTTTTCCCATGAATTAACTTCTGCCTGTACGTCCTCAGTGTCATATGGATCTCAATGTGGACTGGCTATTGCGGCACAAATCGGTCGCTTAAGTTATTTTTTTCAACTCTCGTGAATAAAGGTATGATGTGAAATCGCGCTGCTCACGTCACATCCATCATGTCCATTGTGTTTATTGTGCCGCCCAGCGGGAATTTGCATCTTATCGCATCTTTACATTGACTTTGTAATTCAATCACGCAAATTGTTTTATTCACGCCCGGTGTGAACAAAACATAAAAGAGAGCATTAAAGAAGTTGTGTTTTTTTATTTCCTCTACATCTTACAGGCGCAGCGCAGGTGCTATCAGACAAACACTGAGCTCACATGAATTTACAGACAGCTCAGTATGTACGCATAGAAGATTAGTCTGTTCAGCAAACCGATGTGTGTCTTTTCAGGGTTTCACAAATGGGCCCAAAGCAAACATGTACCAAACAAGAGTTTAATATCAGTATTTTAATGTACATTTATTACACATTTTAAATAAATATTCCATCCTTAAAATTATTTTACACATCCTCAAATAAAAATATATTTTTATATGTATAAAAACAAACATTCAGTGGGCAACAAGAACACAAGAGGGTGAGGGGTAGTGGGCCTGTCGGGGTGCCTTACACACTGCATTTTGTACACATTAACAATACAGTCAGAACAGGAAACCTGTTTATCAAATGTAGCTGCCACATTGTTCCATCACTGTGTGAGAAAGATACAGAATGATCCCAGTCAGGATGATTAAACACTGCAGTGTTACTGCAACATGTTTCTGCAACGTTTACCCAACACACAGTGTGTGACAGTTTGTGTCTCTGAACGCAGCGTTCCTGGCAGTGCGGTCAATCAGGGCCCTTCAAGTCTCCTTGAGCAGCAGGCGAGAGTCCAAAAAATGACTCTACTGGTCAGAATGAAAAAAAAAAAACAACACCACGCACTCGACTAAGATGTCCAAATAAGTCAGACAATTAGTTAGGTGCATCTAAAAACACACGGGTCAGTACTAAGTCTGGAGTACAAAAATAAATTTCTCATGTTTTTGTCTATGTACAGCTTTTTTTGACCTTGAGAAAAATAGAAAACAACCTACATATTAAGATATAGTAATGCTCAGTATAAAAATGTCTTTAGAGGTTTTGTAGGGAGAGTGGAGGAGTGTGCCAGCTGCTGAAAATTCGGTCAGTCTGTCAGTTTATCCTCTTTCTCTGTCTTTTCTATCCCTTTCCTCGTCAGCGCTCTGACGAGTAGCGCGTACGTTTAGTCCTTTGACTGAAGGGGTAGTGGATGAAGTCGAAGGGGCGGTGGTGGCTCGAGTGGGCGGGCTGCTGCCCCTTCGGCAGCCTCTTCATGAAATGGACCTCGCGCTGGTGCTGGCGCGTCCGCGAACCTTTCCGTGGCCGCCCGCGACGGGTGAAGGCCATGTACCAGCCCTCATAGCGGGCGTTTCTCAGCGCCGTGTAGTTGTTCTCCAGAACGATCTCTGTGAAGATACAGTCACGGCCTTGTCCGTTCTTCTGCAGAAACACACACACACACACACACATAGAAACACAGTTAGTGGGAATGTTCAGAGAAGATTTACAGATGGCAAATATCAGATGTAGAAAGGCTTCCCTGTGCAGCCTGTCCCCTGCACACACACACACACACACACACACACACACACACACACACACACACACACACAGAGCCCTCCCCTCATACATGCGGCATATGCTACAGTCATTACAGATCAGAGAGAGGGGGATGACAGTAAGCGATGACTCTTCTCCCCCTTCAGCAAACATCCAGCAGCCCTTGTGGGTCAGTAGCTGTGGGACGGATCTTCTAGCCATAAAGCCTTAATCAGCCCCCAAGTGTCACTTTCACCTCTGGTTTGATCTTCTGTTGCATTTGTGGTTAAATTTAACCGAGCAGGTCTGCTTGAATTGAGTAACAATCAATAAGTCCTTAAATACACATCCCCAGTCCTCTGCTGTGTGCTGTGACACTAACTAAACAGCTGGGTGAAGTGTGACTTCCAGTTGGTGATATCATCAAGTGAAAAACACAATACACCAAATGTACAGTAAGGTCAGCTGAAACAGCATTAACTAGACTTGGACACAGTGCTAGCCTACTGTAACAAGCACTGTGTTAAAAATAGTCATGATACACCCAAAAGGCACACTCTCTGTTCATTCTTTCTCTTCAACACACACACACACACAGACATGCGTGCACACACACACACACTAGGGCCGGGTCAGGCTGTGACTGGGCCGGTAGCTCGGGGCAGATGGTGTACGAGGCAGGGTGCTTGGTGGGTGGAGGGGAGTGTGTGTGTGGGGGGAGCAGAGATGCTGGCAGCTCTGTTTATTAGCCGTCACAGTGAGAGAGGGGCACTGGGATAACACACACCTACACACTCACATAACAGCAACGAATAAACATCCGGGACACATAGGAAACAATTGATATAGCATAGTATCGCAATATTTTGCATGGCAACATTGTATTGATACACAAACACCACGTCTAGTATTGATTATAAATATTGCAAATGTAAATTAAACTTTTAGTAGCCTACTAGAATAATAAACTCAACTGCTTTTTCTGTCCACTAGATTAAGAGACTGAAAATTTTAAACACATGTTGACAAAGTTTTCCTTTGCATGAATAATTTGCAGTTGAAAGAGGTAATAAATCATGATATATCTATATATCAATATATGCTATCGCAATACTCAGCATAATGCGAAACATTTAAAATTGCATTAGGATCTTGATAATATTGTATCGTGGGGCCTCTGGTGATTTCCACCTATGATATATTTACACTTTAAATCATTAGCCTTTACACATGCTGCATCAAGCAAAACACCTTACATTATCTAGCAGGTCATGTTCTTGAAGTCATACATCTAAGGCAAACCAAAGCCTCTGGTGGATTTGAAGATGTGTTCTGCAGGTTGAAATTATTTTTTACTTTGTGATTATTACAGACTTACAATACTATCTCTACTCTGCCATGGCTCTCAGCTCCAAGCTCATTGGTTCTTACTGATGATGTAAATCTTTAAAAACAGCTCACAAATATATACTTTCAGTTTTTAAAAAAAAGCCTCCGTAATTTTCTAAAACAGCTGGTCACAGTAGTTTTGGACTAATAAATAGGAAGAAACAGTTGATTTATTGTACTAGTTTCAGCTGTGGACTAATACACATTTGTAAAGAGGAATAAGCTATATCAGGTTTTGCTTTTGATCTCCTATAGGACTTGTTGACATTAATAAAAAAGACTATATACTATTTTATTGTTTAAAAAGTATCATAAACTAATGAATACTGATGTAGCTTGGGTCATTTTTGGAGCTATTTTAGCTGAGGAATCATATTTTCATCTGCTGTGCACTGATATCACACACTGGGGAAGTAGTCCAAGCTTATTCTACATGATGTTCATGTGCTATTAACTGTAAATTTAACCTGTCTTAACATGAGCCTCCTAAACTTGGGTTAGTTTGGAGGTTGCTTTAGAATTTCTACAGCATATTATTTGTTCACTTCTCATAAAATGTAGCCAAAGATGCTAACATGGAGCCCTAGAGCTAATGACACACCAAGGACTAATGGATGATTTTGATTTCTCTGCTCACAACTATTTGCCTTGAGGTTTTCCTTTACAAAATAAAGTCCACGAGACAGACTCTGAATCCTCTTCTAACTCCTCTCATTGCCTCTGCCTCGGCTGCTTAAGATCAGCTTTTTTCCTCACCTTGCCGATGAGCTTCCCCCTCTTGTTCATGCAGATGTAGAAGCCCGTCTCAGCACCCTTGATGCGCACTCGGCTCCCAAATGTGTCCGTTTCCACAATGAGTTTAGCTATAGAAATGAAACAAAGAGTTTGTTTTTTTCCTTAGCAACTACAGCTGAGAACAGGATGGTTGTCAAAAAATGTTAATGTGTGTTTTTTGTTGCCCGTCTGAAATATTCCTCAAATATTAAAACCTGAATGAATTACTTTTCAGGGCACATGCATATGTGCACGGACATAAAAGCATCGACAACACACGCAGGAATGCTTGACTGTGCTTTCAAGTATGCATACTCTCTTTCTATACACACACAGACACACACAGACACACACAGACACACACACACTAGAACCTATGGGACCATTCCTGGGGATTTATGCAAGCTGAAATTCTTGCAAAATGATAAAACCACGTGTCTTTTGATTCTTTGAAAGCTAAAGAGGCGACCCTGGCAGGCTCATCAAGAATTCCTTTTCAAATAAATCTGTATTGACCTCACACATAAAGCTCCACATTTATCTCTATATCCAGAGACATACTGATAGATACAGGAAATATGGACAGTTCGCAGAGCATGACTTTATGTTGCATTGCTTTTCAACAAGCTACAAGAACAATTATCATTTCACTTATGCAGAGTGACAGAGTACTGTGTATTGTCAGTTCATACAATGTGTTTGCGCTGCAGTGATTTGACATTCTCATAGATATTTCTCTTGAATATTAAAAGCCAATAGCAGAAGACCTTTTATAAATACCATTTTTAATCCACAGTGTCTAATAAAAATGGTTTCATGGCGTCAGCCACAGGGTTACTGAGGTCACACACCCACTGACTAACCACTACATGTCTGAGAGTTATAGTTGTGGTCAAAATCAGCAGTTTTAGGCAAGCTGAATGACGGACAGTTGTGGGAGATGCACACACCACCCCCATGTACACTTTTTTTCTCATTTCATAGACAATTACTTCAGTATGAACCTGAATAGCTGCACACTCATTTTACTGCCATGCATGTGCACACGGTTACATTCTGCAACACCCCCTGCACAGAAAAAACACCATGATTAACAGATATTTTAGTGGAGTTCAGTTCATTCTAAATACAAAAAGGCCAGAGTGGCTGCAAAGCTTGACAAAGCCCGTTTGGTTCAGGCTGGACAGAGTAGGGTTGAAGGTGGGGGTGGAGGCGAGGTGGGGAGAAGGAGCTATGCAGGAAATGTTCGGAAGGTAGAAGTAGGATGACTTCTAATGGCTCTTCCAGACCTCCGGGATCTCTGGAGGATCACCTCCAGCACCATCTACAATCTACTGGACAGTTTCTCTGAGCTCTGAGCCTCTTCCCCTCCAACAGTAAAGAGTGGGAGCACAAATGGTGCAAAGAAGACCACTTCCACCAGTCAGTCTAAGTTTGCTTAATAGGTATAGATAATGATGGTGATAAGAGGCTTTCACTTTTGTCTTGAAATGTAGTATCTTGAAACAAGACAGAAAATCTTTGACTGACTGAATAAATAGGAGCAAATTCTGCAAATATGTTGATTAATAAATGTTCGCTAATTTACACCTCTTAATTAAAACATTCAAATTAAACGTGTTAATTTGAAGCTAATTTTCATATCTAAGATAGTTTGCTCTTTAAATGCTTCAGGCCCTCTTCACTGGTTTAATGATATTAGAATATTGGCCTTGAGTCATATGTGTAAAAACGCTGGGAATAATTTCAATCACAAAGCAAAAACAAAATGTAGAAGCTAAAATTTATCTCGGAACCTACCTCATGAAATTTTCTAATAATAATAATAATAATAATAACAACAATAACATACAAAAACTCTAAGTCTGCAGTCCAAAGGAGACAGAATTTAATAAGGACGGATTTTTTTTTAAAATTGCAAAGCGAAATTTAATCAAACGCCTAAACCTAAAATTTCCTGCGCTGAACGGACAATGCCAGATTTTTGTCAGGTCGTAAATGACCAGAACATGAAATAGATCCAGACAATATTTACACTAGTGCAAAATTTAATGAACACACATAAAAATGTTAGGAAACTCAATAAACAAATAAATTAATTAATTCATAAAAAAATCACAGATCCACCTTGATACAAAACATTTAAAGGATCTCGGCGGGTTTCAGATGAGGATTTCTGGCTATCACAAGGGACTTGCGGGGCTTCTCTTACCGTGCACATCTCCATCGTCGGCCATGGCGTTGATCTTCTTGTTGGGCAGGACCTGGACATGCTTGCCGCTGGTCCGGCTGTACAGCTGGTAGATCCGGATCAACCTGCGGCTCACGCGGTCCGTCACTTTGCTCTGCTCGCTTACATGCTGCGTGAAATTAGGCGGGGACTGATTGGTTACCTGTCAGAAATTAGATGTCATCACAATCATCAGTATGTGTAGATCTGTCTTTTATATATATATATTTTACGGACATTTAACTGCGCAAAAAGAAGAAAAAAATCTGGACTAGACTGAAACCAATTGTGTGTCTGCAGGTTAGTGTAGGAAATGACTGAGGCTCTTAAACACAGAGGGGAGAGATATCCAAACGCAACAACAGCTTGTTGTTGTTTTTCCCCGAGTGACAAGTGTAACAAGTTCCAGGAGAGCTGCTGCCAAATGAAATTAACAGCTTCCAAAACAGACGCACGGTGTGATTACAGGTTGTGCGTACAGGAGAATGCGCGCCACATCGCAGAACACAAACACGTTGGATAAATGAACTAACAGAGCATCCACTTTAACTTTTCACTATTTGTATTTCTCTTTCACTTGGATCCCTCTATCCGCCGCGCTCCGCTGTGATGGAATGACGGCTGCTGACGGAAACATTGGCCCTGGTTACTTTTGAACCCCACGACATTTTTCACAAGGCTCGCAAGCATTTCCCGATGCCCCGATGCCCCGTCTGTGCCCGCGCGTCCTGTGCCAGGGCCGGTATGTTCATCAGCAACCTGCCAGCAGGCCGCGCGCCCCGCTGTCCGGCGCACCGTGGGAGCCATCCGATATTGTTGTATCACATAATGTTATGATGATCCCTCACCTTTCCTCCTCTCGCCGCGCATCACACGCTTTGATTGCCATATGCTTAATAATTATACAAAAACGGAACATTATGAATCATGTATAAGAAAAGAAATGAAGTAGTGACATACCTGAGCATAGTAGCAAAATGCGAATAAATGTAGACACCTGCAGAGACAAAAAATAAAACATACATTAAGTTGGCTAAAGCATTAAAGCATTGATAGTGCGTAAAGAATGGATGCGGTGAAGGAGAGGCACTCACAGATAGCTGAGTCTTGATGGGATAGGTCGCATGTTGGATGGAAGTGAAAAGCTCTTCCAGTAAATTCTGATCCTTTCAAAGCCGCAAAGTCCAGCAGATCTCGTTACAAATCAATCACTCAAGTCCAAAGATTTCATCGAAATCCACAAAAAAGGTCAGGGGTGTTGACAGAGAGGCTCATGCGCGCACAGCAGGCACATTCCTCATTAAATATACTGTAAGTCCATAAGACGATCAAAAAGCCGAAAAGTACTGACTAATGATAATCATTCAAATGATGTCCTGTTTCTGTCACAAGGCTATACGCAAAGTCTAAGTGCACTTGCAGAAGTGGAGCGGTGCGTTAAAGTTTAGGGAAAAGCGCTGCAGGGTTTTCTTCTCCAATAAAACAAATGTTCGTCCGGCTGTCAGACTATTCCCCCTGGTTTGTAATCCCTCTGCGGCCTTCAGGTGTGTATGACCCCGCTGTAGAGGAGACTGGCGCTTCAGTGATCTCTCGATGCTGCTGCTCCGCTCGGTTGTGGCAGGACTGCAGGCTGGACGTTCCTTCTCTCTTCTCTCTATTCCCATCCCACACCGCTGCCGTGTCAAGCCTCTCGATCAGCGCTCACACACCCCCGGTTAAAATGGCAGGCTGATCTGCTAAGAACAAGCCCCCTTTTTCTGCAGAACAAAAGCGGACAGCCCCAGCCCCACTCTCCCCTCCCTCCCCCCTTGATTTAAAACATCTCTCTACCTGAGGAGCGGTCCTCACTTGGTAGGGGGGGGGGGGGGGAAGGGGCGAGGAGGAGCCTGGGCTGCCCTGCGCGCACTGCCACAAGTCTGAGGAAAACACTTAAATAAAAAAAGGACCCCCTCTCATCATCACGATACAGTTGTGTTTGTTATGAATGGTCAGTAGTAACCTGATGACCCTCCTGCTCATCCCTCTTCTCCTCTCATGCCCATGGATACTCCTCTCCTCCAGTTTGGGGATGCATCGAGCTGCTTTGTGTATTGACAGAGCAAAGTGTGAGACATATTAAAAGGATTACAGGCGATTAGCGTTTTTAAAACACACCCTCCCTCCATTTGATAAAGAGAAAGGTTTAAGTGAACTGCAAATACAAACAGGCTTTTAAAGACTTATTCATGGATTTATCCAAAGCAATACAAGAATGGCTGCAGAGCAAAGCTGCGGACGGAGTGAGACATGAATTCATTAAGATGAAGCAGACAGCAGTATGGACAAGTGGGACATTCACACCTCACAGCCTGAAATGAAATAGGCCCATTTTGTTTTTTTGCGCCACATTAATTATCCGCAAATCGCACCCTTTTATTATAGAGAATAGCCATTCAATTATCCGTTAGGTTTTATTGATTGATTGAGCATTAACTAGACTGCTCAGTATCGGCTACAACAAGGACACAGAAACTCAGCACGGTCTGATTAATAAACGCCATTTAAGGTCGTTAGATTAGGTGGAGAGGCTTGACTTGCTTCATTGAGAACACCCTTTGCGCTGTTTGGAGTGTAAAAGGAGTTACTGGCTAAAGACTCAAGCCATCAGACTGGGAGCCAAACAAGGAGATTCTTTGGGGTGACTTGAAAGACTGCAGAGTTATGAATCAATAATGTTCGAATTGGCTTTGACACATCTTGATAAGACATATCAGAGAATATCACAACTGAGAAATCAGCCCACCGGAGAAGGTGGTCTCACTGTCAGCCTGTCATACAGGGTAAAGCCACCAGTGGGCGCTCTAGAGAGGCTGGCAACAGCTTCCAGTGCCCTTGATGGTGTAATATGACATTTTTGAAGACAGTGTGGAGCTGTGAATGGGGCTCTGCTTTGTCCGTATCACATGCTGGAGTCATTTCATCTGTTGTCTGCTCTATTGACAGGCTTCATGTTGTCACATGGTTTGTTTCTCTGTTTCCTACCCTCCCTCCCATTAGCATCTTCTGCCCTGTGTGTGTGTGTGTGTGTGTGTGTGTGTGTGTGATGAGAGGCAGGTAGCTGCCACTCTGTACCCTGGCTCAGGGCCTGGCTGCCCTCCCCTTAACCCCAGGAGCCCTGCATCCATCAGCAGCCCTGCAGGGGGCAAACACCCTTCCCCCTCTGCTCCTATTCTCCCTCCCTCTTCTCTGTTTCTCCACTCATCACCAGAGCGCCATCAGTATGGGGTTATCAAAAATATATTTTTACACTGAAATAAAAAACATAATTCATATTTGATCATTATGTTTAACACCATTCAGTATTTGTGTGTTTTCTCCAGAATGTCTTGGTAGTTACTACCAGCTATCTATGCTTTACATCACCTTACATATTTTAGTTTTAGATTGTTGGCATCCATTGGGTTCCATTAATTTTGGTATGCTCCAAAAACAATCTTGCAGTAAACTGGCTTGTGATGAGCCATCCATAACTGTTAAAATCATAGTGACATGATGGTTGTGTGGTAACGCAGTGCGAAGACTGATTTGAATAGTCTGCACTGCAGAACTACGTCACAATAATGTAACTGGTATAATCTGACATAATGTTGCTTGTGATGAATTACATCACTAAAACTGACTTTCACACTGTAGTGAAATGACACAACACTGCTGACTGCTCTGAAGGTGGAAAGGCACATTCAGAGAACATTACATTGGTGTCCTCCATCACAGTACAATGGAAGTGATTGGTAGCCTATTTAGTTTGTGATGTACACAGTATTAAAAAATCAACAGTGACATCTCGGTCTTTAGCACTGTTACACTGCCTGTTCAAGGTGGGAATATTGCACCATCATGCTGCCTCGCAGTGCTGTATATAAGGTACACCCGTGGAATGGGGAGGACATAGTGGTGTGGCCTTAAAGCCACCACGGGAGGTAGTAACAGTGCTTAAATGGTGTCTTTATAGAAGGGACAGCCGGCAGGACAGGACCATGGCAACACATTCTCACTCTGACCTTGTCACATATCAATGTTTGGTCATGGACTTTCCATGTTAAGATATGACGTACAAGATACCCTGGGTGTGTTGGTTGTTCCTGTTCTGGGACACAATGTCAACATCAGACTGTTACATGCATTGTCTGTTTTCAAAGAAAATGTACTGTTTGCATACAGTCTCCTTTAAAATAAATACACTACGTCAGTACAACATTGTGAACTAATGTTTTTTCCTTCACCAACAAATGCACATGGTTATGTTTAGCCAACACACACATGGTTGGGTTTACAAAAAAGTAACAGGGTTTGGCTTTACAAAAAAGTAATGCAGTTTGGCTTTACAATCATATGGGAAGTGAAAACCGGCCTAGCGGGTGAAAGTCTGTGGTTGTTAGACCCATCCAACACCTCTACCTCCCCCCCTACTCAAACTTTTTGCCCCTTAACTTAAGTTGTCTTCCAGCCATATTCCCCCAATGCCACCAGGTGCCGTTACAAAATAATGGTGACCAGCAACATGCCAATGGGAAAGGATGGCTTTTTTTATCTGTGCCCGACGCTGTGATTGGTTGCTGCTCATCACATGACAAGCGGTGCACACTGCTGTGTTCCAAAAGCTGAACTCTGTTTATCTCAGGGCAAAGCAGTTGCACCCTGAAAAATAGGCACTTAGGAATGCATGCGGGCCGCGATGGCATCACTCTGGCATTTGAGTGCACCTGCCTTGCATCTACATTAAAAACAATTAATTCAAGGGCGCAAAAAACACGGCATGTATACAGCCCCTAAAATTACGCACTGGAGCAGAATGATGCCACTGTCCTGTGGTTCTGTTTAAAAATGCAAAGGTGACATAAAGAAGGGACTTTGCAACAGCCCTATTGCGTGATCTCTGTGAATAATAACAGCACACAGAAAACAGTTTTTATTGGAACATGTCAGTGAAACATTTCTCTTTTTCTATTAAATATTATCCTCCTTTTCCCCTCTAACCCCCCTTTCCTTCAATTTACTACCTTGGTTACACCTCTCTCTCCCTCCATCATTCCTGCTCTGCATTCCAACGTGCAGCCATCTGCCATCTCCCCTCCTCCCTCTGCTCTTCCTCCTCCCCCCATAATTTATCTCTCTCTTTTCCCTCAACCTTGTTGAGCTGGGTTTGGATTAGGATGGGCTTTAGACCCTCAGTACACTTCACATGAAATAGTTCGTATGGCCCCCTCTAAAGTTGAAATGTTTTTAGCTGTTCTGATAAGCCACTGCGGTGAAAAGTCTCCCCTCACAGCCTCCTGGCTGCATCACACTGTCCCCCAGATCTCTCCAACAACTCTCTCTTTGTGGTCTCACTCTATGTAGGCTTCATGTCCATATGGGTCATGTATGGTACTATACCAAAGTTTTTTGGTGGAAACATGACTCAAGCCTGTCTGTTCACCCCTGACATCAGAGTGCGTCTCAACATGTGTTTCGAGTGACCACTTGTGATTGGATCTCACTTAACTGCTTTATATGCAAATAAAAACATACATAATTCCTGCAAAGCCCAAATGGTTTGTTGTTTTAAATCAGTTGGAGGTTTGCCAGGCTACATATTATTTAAAATGGGTAAAATCTGATTCCTTTGTGAAGCTGGGCACAGCGTATTGATTTGCTCAGGCCCTCCTCGCCCCTTCTCCGTCTGTTTCTGATGAGACAAGCACACCTTGTGGTCTCACCACCTCCCCAGTGCCAGGGGACTACTGCAGTGGGAGTGTGAGCTCCACGCAAGGACAGTTGATGAGAGTCTGCCTCCACACACACACAGTGACAGGGCTAACTGTTAGCACAACACAGCCGGCGTTATCTAACAGTCACAGAAGCTGAGCTGTTTTGGTGTCTGTGTGAGGTTGTCAGGACCATTTAACATCTGCTACTGTGTTAGCTCCTGCCAACCGGCCAGACATTGAACTGACTGTCTGCCAGCCCCAGAGGAGAACGGCTCTGGAGATGGTCCTTCAGCGCTACCTCTAACCTGAATAATAGCAGCAACAGAAAGTTTGAGTCGGGTAAGCAAGGACATCAGTTGAGTAGGCAGTCCTTCAGTGTGGCCCACAACACATAAGCATACACACTGCTGAAAGAATGTGGCCATATGCCCTTACTCAGCTGATGTCCTTGCTTATCCGAATTTTACGGGAATGTGTGAGTGTAGTAGTGCAGGTAAGCTCTTGGTCCACTGTACCCGGTTATCCAGCTTCAGTCCCAAACACTGGTGCAATCTGACTTTGTGTACTTTATGTGGGTGACTATGTCTCATCACCAGCACACAGTTGTGTCAGCTCACTTCTGTTGTTCTGCTCTGCCTCAAACACAATTACAACCACCCAAATAACAGGCAGAGCTGAGCCCGAGGTCTCAAGTAACTCTGTGGTCCTCCAGTCACTTTCTCAGGCCCCAGTCATTAGGTGTGTGCCTTCAACTGTTTATCCATCTGGATGGAGAGAGAGAGAGAGAGAGAGAGAGAGAGAGAGAGAGAGAGAGAGCCTGGCATTACAGTCATTTCCAGTCTCAAATCCAGTGTGTCTTTGATTGCCCTGCTGGGTTTGACCAAATATACCCTCCTTCAAGGAACATATGCTAGTAATACCCATTCCATATGACCACTTACAGCCCGCACAGAGTCAGCCTCTGCTCTGACACCTGGATCTGTTCAAACCTGAGGCTGACAGTGAGGCC